CCCCCCCCCCCCCCCAGTCATTTGATGTAGTCTAGGAGATGTGTAGACGGGGGATAAGGCAGAGGAGTCTAAAGCCGAATAGGTTCTTGATCTTAGGTTAAAAGCCCTCTATTTCTATTGGTGTTGGTTTTGGCTTTGGTTTTCTATTTGATCAAGGATTCTACTCAGGGTTTCCCTATGGCCTTGTACCCTATGTAGGGGACTATTACATGTGAAATAAAGTACACCATATTTGATCAATTTTGGACGTATTTCAGTCTGTTGAAGTACCCAAATTTAGGAGAGACGCTGGTCACTAGAAGTAGTGGCAACCTATTATCCCGATAGAATATATCCGAGTTCTTTCAAATGATAGTCATCACAATCTTCATATGTCAGTATAACTTACCCCGGTTAACATTTAGCCCATCATAAAAGAGGTTCAGAAGAAATAACTATATCACTCATAATCAAGCAAATGAAGGGGAGCCTTGACGCACCGGTTAAGCTATTGCCGTTGTGATCTAGAGGTCACGCGTACGCGTTCGAGTTCTGGAAACAGCCTCTTGCAGAATATTATACAACCTAAGGTTTACCTACAATACACCCTTGTGATGGGATCTTTCCCTGGACCCGGGGTCAATAGGGATGTTGTGTGCACCAGACTGCCCTACTCATAGTCAAACAAATCATCAATTCGCACAATCTCAGTCTAACACATTGTCATCTACCAATATCATAAACCTACGGTCCATTTGATTAGCCTTTACTTTGGGCTCACCGGTCATTCCCCTTTCCATGAAAAGGGTAACAAAAGATTAACAAAAGAAGCAACTAACATTTGGCACATTTTCGTAATCGTATAATAGATTTGAAAGCTTATGCAAATAATGGCCACTTGCATTTATTTTTCCCTGCATCAGGCAACCTTCAAGGCCAAGCATTGTAGAATGTGCAACGAAAATAGAAAATTGAAAAATAAATATCTTATCAACCTGAAATGATTTCATGGGTAAGGCATAATTTCTGATTCCAGCAGAAAAATGTACTGTTGGAAAGACAACCTGCCAACTTCTCTCCTTGCTGGACTGCAGGCCTGATTCAGAACACCGCTTTCATGGAACTTAGTTCCCTTGTCTCCGGTTCGGTTTTGACGAATTAATCACCGCGGTGAGATTTCTATCGAAAGGAAGGTGAAAGGAATCCGGAGAATCCCCAAATGGCTGAACCCTGAAGCAACCAAACCAGATAGTCTCAATTCCATATCAGAATTCTAAAGGCCAAGGCAGAGAATCAACATAGACTGCAGTGCTATGAACAACAATCCAATACTTTATATCATCAGCACTTCTAGGGTTGATAAACAAAAGGGCAAAATAGAGTCATCAAATTCAAGTCATTAGACAACTAGAAGCCCAAAAGCAGTCATGCTTCACAAATGGAAATAAGCTGCCATGGAAGAAGCAGCTATAATCAATGTATTACCATGATAAATAACCCCATGGCTATCAAACCAGTAGTATAATTATACATATTCAAATCAAGAACCAGGGTCCGACGTGAATCCAGATGCCGGAACTCTGAAGAATTTAAGCCAGCATGAGATCAACGTCTTTTCACTTAGCAACAACTACCAAATTCAGAAGATATCCATAACTAGAAGATGTTAACACGTGATTCAACAATTTCAGATAGAAACCGATTAAACCCCATGAAAACCCATAGATTTGGAGAACAAAATCGAGAAATTACCTTGGGCCCATCAACGGAAATCACTCAGATAGATTCGGAAACTGCGGATACACTCGTTCCAGGAGTCGTTATTCAAGGAAAGAAGATCGACACCAAACATTCAGGGAAAGATGATGAAATGGATAAATGATCAAAACCCAGTGATGAATCCGACTGATTCATCTCCTCCTTTTATAGACTTCGGAAAACGGCTGCGGTTTTTGTTTCTTTGAAGAATTTGAATATCCTCTTTTAAAAAAAAAACAAAAATCATTGCTTTCTGATGCTTCGTCTCGGTCTACGCCGAGCCCAATTGGCTTCGAACATTTTTCGTGGAGTATTAAACTGCAAATGGAGTAATTAATTTTAAATAATAAACAGAGTTTAGTGCTAATCCTTGTCATTTAATACTAATATTAAAATAAAATTGTGGCTGGCTTTAGTTCATTCTCTCTTCCATCGACCTCGTTTGAGTTATTATGTGAGAAATGACAATTTGGGCCCGAAGCCCTACTCAAGTCCACCTAAAACATAGTTTTGGATTTAAAATTTTAGGCTCGAAAAGTTTTGGATTTTTGGGGCGGGTTTAAATCGGCCCGACGAGCTTAATCCGATTTATTTAAAAATAATTAATTAAAAAAAATACATAAAATCTTATTTTTTTTAAATCCAATTCGAACCTGAGTTTTATAAGATCATACTTGGGGATTGGTTTATTAGGTTTGAAAAAATCGGACTGACAAGTACCGGAGCCCGAAAACTTCGAGTCGAATGTAGATTTCGGCCGGATCAACTCGATTGACACTCTACTTTTTGTTGTATAACCTATTAAACAGTTCGGTGTATGGTGTACATATTTTCCTTGTTTTTGTTCTAATGAAGAATTTTATATATACATATAATTTATGATAACACTCATCCAACAACAATAACTTGTTATTTTCATAAGGCTGGTAAATAAATAAATCACCAACAATTCGGCAATCGTGTGAGTAAATGAGATGATATTTTCTTATATAGAAAATTTCCTAAAACACGTGGCGGGAAATAGGCTGAAATTTGGTTCGATTATGTATAAATTGAACTTAAAATCTGAATACAAACCAAAACTAAATTAAATTGAATCTAAATTGAATCAAAATCAAAATAACCTAATCGAATCCAAAGCCAAAATACAGAATTCGATATGAAAAGGCTAAAAATATGGTTATTATTAAAAAAAAATTGATTATAATGGATTTTATTGAACAGAATTATTATAAATTCAAAATGATAAAATAGTTTATATATAATCTAGTATGATAGGGGGAAAATGGAACATATTGGTTAGATGATCAATAAATAAAAATTATGACTAGAAAAATTCAGTATGAAAAGACAATATAGAAATCGGATGTATATCACGTTGACATCGATCGTAAACGATATCATAGTCCAAAACCAATTTAATCAATAATAATAATAATAATTCAGTCAGTCTATTGGTCAACTGGTGTCGGGTTCAGGTTTTATAACCTGAAATATCCGTGTTAAACAATATGGATACGGATTCGTATAACAAGAAGAGAAATATGGCGAATATCTGAAATTATATTCTATTTACGATTATACATATATTATTTTTACGCTATTATGCATTGCGACGAATTGTTTTTATTAACGGATTAGAAAAATCCGCCTACTATGTCTCCTTTTACAATTTTAGTTTGGGTTTAATTTTATTTGATAAAAATATTATTTTTTTCAATAAAAATTCAGTTTTCTTTCAATTTTCTACTTTCGTTTTCGGGGTTTAAAAAAATCCAATATTTTCGATTTTTATATGGGATTAGATTTTGATTTTACATGACGAAACAAAATGGATATCCTAACACTATTCTATTGTATTTTGGACTATGTAAAAGTAAATTCCGCAACAAAAGTAACTCTTAGAACATGTTTGAATGCTTTGAAATACTCCATCCCACAAATATTTTTTTACCGTTAAAACGGGACGTGAAGCGTCTTTTATATCCCGAGTTCGAATTTTAAATTTGAAGAAAAAAAGTATATTTCAAATCATAGCTGTCTT